CCTGAACAGCAGGGCTGCGCCTCGGACATGGCCGTCCGGACGGCAGGGCTGTGCCCCTGACGTCTCACGCCCAATGGAGCGCCAGGGCGTCCGCGGTCTGGTCTGGGTTTACACTGACGAGCCTAGGCCAGACCAGACGATCGGGAACCCCTGTACGGGCAGGAGGTCGGCAGACCACTGCAGGAGGAATCGGGGACCTCTATATGGGCAGGAGGTCGGCAGACCACTGCAGGAGGAATCGGGGACCTCTATATGGGCAGGAGGTCGGCGGACCACTGCAGGAGGAATTGGGGACCCCTATGCGGGCAGGAGGTCGGCGGACCACTGCAGGAGGAATCGGGGACCTCTGTACGGACAGCAACGCTGACGGACCACTCACGTCTGCCGGCGGCCGGCGCCAGGTAGCCACCACTCCTGTTCCCGATGTCCCGCAGCGGGGATGCGGAGAGCGTGTCGCGTCCCGGCGACAATCCGTTGTCGTGTCGTGCCTGCCGGAGCCATGGATCAGGTCAGGTCAGGTCAGGTCTGTCAGGGACGTAACCGAGAGGAGGCCAAGGGGCCCATGCCCTTCTGTTGATCCACGAGGTTTACACTAGGTACAGAATAAGTCCGCACGAATTCGGCCAAAATTTGCAGGATTTCGGAGAAAATTTGGCGGTGGTCTTCTCACTACCTGAACACAACTTTAGCTACGTGCCTGGGACTGGCTTGCGGTGCGGCGGGCGACGCCGGCAGCGGCGATCCAGTTTTGAAGGAGTGACGTCCGGACGATGCATTCAAGCTAATCTCGTCATATCTTGGACATGATTATCGATAAGTTACATACCGACGAGAAACGTACAATGTTTTTTCCTTTGTCATCCTGCTTCCATTGAGGTTCGGTTGAAAAATGCACAGCGTTTGCACCAGAACTCTTGCTGAAAGGCATTTCATGGCCGGCAAACTTGGGTTGGCATCCTAGACGGTGCATGTCGATACGTGGGAGTAGTTCCACACGGGTGAACAACCAGTGGTGATGTCATAGCTTCCAGGGCAAGCAACGATTCGACACTGGATACCGGTGAGTCACAGGAACGTGCAAAACGTTTCGTGCCATGAGCGCTCCCGTGGGCTGAGAGCAAGAAGGCCTCCGGTTACGTAGGCTTTTCCCTTTGTGCATATCGCATGACAGAGATAGATGAAGATGCCGTATTTTCGGCGTCTTTATCCCAGGGCAAGACCAACAGCTTAGCAGCACCGATTCCAAGCGGAATAAGTGATAAGCAGTTTACCCCACAAAAATCAGACATACTTGGCCCAGTAGCGCGATCATCTAACTTCCTCTCAGTTAAAGTCTCCTGTCACTATCACGAGTCATGCAGCACGTGACATTTCTGAGCATGTAACATCATGTTAACTAACGAGTCATGCAGCCACATCAACATCTTCGGTGACATAGTATCCCTGGACACGTCTCGATGACAATCTAATAACATGCTCACCAATGCTATTACATCATGTCACGTAAACATACCAGTCATATAGACGCGTTACCAGTCACCAGACATTGATATCCAATGACGAGGTCGAGCTTGCCGGTGCGGCCGCCCCAGAAGCACTCCCGCCTCAGCCTTCGCGTCGCGGGACAGCCCCGCCCACCAGCCGGTCCCGTCGCTTCCCACAGAGTGACGGCCGCCGCCCGCTGCTCCCCAGCCCGCCCACCTGCATGAAGGCGGCGAAGTGTCCGTTGGTCTTCATCTTGGGTCGGCCGTGGAAAAGGCTGGAGACGCTGGAGCCCAGCGCCGAGCCGAGCAGGCCGCCGGCCGTCTTCCCCGGAAAGCCCACCTTCTTGGCTGGAGCGCCTATCGACGGTGAGCGGCGCAGGCCCAATGTCAGACTGCTCAGACGCGCGCGCCACTCGTAAATGCGGAGACGCCCAACCCAGACTCACAGCGCCGCCTCCAGCGAATGAATGGGTGACATTCGCGGCGATTTAAACGGCGTGTAAACCCGCCGAGCAAGCGCTTAAGGGCTTTATCCTCTTAGCACCAGATAAGATGGCTGAAGGATCTCTCCTCCAGCCGCGGACCTTGGTCCACCGGCCGTATCATGACGAAGGGCGCGAGCAAAACCGATGGCGCGCATCCGCCTTAAAGCGTCATTACCACCACTTCGACGACTAAGCCCGGCCCGGCCAGATAGCGCCGGATGACACAGGCAGGTGCGCCGCCTGCGTGGGCTCTGCGTCACGAGCAAGCCGTCCGGTGCGGGAGTCACGGCGGCCGTCGTGCACCGCGCCTCATGTCGGCCGTGGCCGGCCGCGCGGCGCGCTGGACTCGCGGCCGAGCACCAGCCGTAGCCGGTGTGGACGGGGAGCGGGGCTGGCTGGACTCGCGGCCGAGCACCAGCCGTGGCCGGTGTGGACTGGGAGCGGGGCTTGCTGGACTCGCGACCGGGCACCGCCGTGGCCGGTGTGGACGGGGAGCGGGGCTGGCTGGACTCGCGACCGAGCACCAGCCGTGGCCGGTGTGGACGGGGAGCGGGGCTGGCTGGACTCGCGGCCGAGCACCAGCCGTGGCCGGTGTGGACGGGGAGCGGGGCTCACAGGTGTGGTGCCGCTCCGATGGTGGGGTCCGGGCCCGGTGCCGCCCGGTGGTGGGGTGCCGCTGCGGTGGTGGGGTACTGCTCCGGGCCCCGTGCCGCCCCGGTGGTGGGGTGCCGCTGCGGTGGTAGGGCACTGCTCCGGGCCCGGTGCCGCTCCAATAGTGGGGTGCCGCTGCGGTGGTGGGGTACTGCTCCGGGCCCCGTGCCGCCTCGGTGGTGGGGTGCCACTGCGGTGGTGGGGTACTGCTCCGGGCCCGGTGCCGCTCCAGTGGTGGGGTGCCGCTGCGGTGGTGGGGTACCGCTGCGGTGGTGGGGTACCGCTGCGGTGGTGGGGTACTGCTCCGGGCCCGGTGCCGCTCCAGTGGTGGGGTGCCGCTGCGGTGGTGGGGTACTGCTCCGGGCCCGGTGCCGCTGCGGTGGTGGGGTACCGCTGCGGTGGTGGGGTGCCGCTCCAGTGGTGGGGTGCCGCTCCAATGGTGGGGTGCCGCTGCGGCGGTGGGGTACTGCTCCGGGCCCGGTGCCGCTGCAGTGGTGGGGTGCCGCTGCGGTGGTGGGGTACTGCTCCGGGCCCGGTGCCGCCCCGGTGGTGGGGTGCCGCTGCGGTGGTGGGGTACTGCTCCGGGCCCGGTGCCGCCCCGGCGGTCGCCGAGAGTCGGCCACCGGACGTGGTCCGACTAACTGCCCGTCGCCGGACGACCGCTTCGCAAACATACCAATTACGCGCGCATATCGAGCCATAAACAATTTCGGCGTCCCACCGCTCGGAACGCCTTCTCACGGTGTGTGGGCTGGTGTCGCAAGCTGCGTTTGGCTAAAACTTCACTTAAGCGCAGCCTAGGCTGCAGCGGGGTCGGCGCTGGAGCAGGACGGGATCAGATCTCACGTCGGGTCCGAGCGCATGGTGAAAATGCTGCCACCGGCCAGGGTAGTGCGACTTGCTGCCAGACGGCAAGCCGTCACTCAGCGGCTGCGATTGCTGCGGCTCACTCAGCAACTGCAAGCTGAACCGCACTCCAACTGGGAGGGGAGCGTGCTGTGACGGCTACAAATCGCTGGTCTTCAGCAGCGTAACCAGCAGACAAATTCTCCTCAGCCCGCACCATTTGTCGCCAAACGGCGCCAAATTACCGATCACAAGGCCGGTGGGGTTGGGCGAGCATTTTCCCCTCCTTTGTTTTGCACGGCGACACAGAACCGGTGCCACTTTCAAATGTCTGGTATTTCCCAGCACATTGCCGGCGAGGGCCGTCACACGGCATCGAAGCGTCGGGCGTGCGGCGCGACCAGCAGCGCCGAGAGGCCGCGCCGACCTGCCGGCTCGAGTCGCCGCCAGCGGGCGCCACCCACCCGCCGGCCAATTAACATTCCCGACCTGAAGGTGGGCAGCGGCTGCGCACGAGCCCGACCGCCAGGCCGTCCCAAAAACGAGTTGTGCCAGGCTACTGTGGACGGCAGGCCTAGATTTGTCGGATTGATAGGCTACAAGCTCGGCCCGCTTCGTGGTTCGGTCGTGCGCCAGGGATGTGGTGGTTTCATGAACTTCTGTACGTGACAGATAAGCGCTCAATATCACGACTCTCGACTGGCGGTATAAGGTGACAGGGCGTCTGCAGTCCGTCCCGCTGATATATTCGGCATTCGGCCCCGACCAGGCCAGGTGCGGCCCGGGCCCGATGCCGGCTGACGGCAGCGAATCTGAACTAAACCAAACTCGTAGTCTCATTCATTTCCAGGGCTGAATAATGCATTCGCGACGTCCCACGCCTGGCGGCAGCGATAGTGTCCGGTGATATACCACTGCACGCGCGTCGCACGCCTTTGCGAATCGTGTCACATGATCCGGCGACACCCGAAAAGGCGTGATGTGTCAGCGATAGCAGGCCGCAGCGCACGGCTGGGCCGGCCGGTGCTGGCAGGGCCAGGGTCGGTCGGTTCATTCACAAAACTGTCGGCCCTGAATGTGACCGCTGGCGTAACAGGCCGTTGACGTAATCAAAACCATTAGATCTGCGATAGCTCGATTGATGGACAGCTCGGCGGACGCTGCAGCGGCCAGACGATCAATGATCTCAGAAGATAAGTGAGGACAAACAACAAACGGATGTGGAAATTGGCGTATATGGTAGTCCACCGCATTTTTTGACGGCGCTGTTAATCTGTCTTCATTAACTAAATCAGTCGCATCCCTTTTAAAGCCTCAGATAAAATCATCCCACATTTTCAAAGCAAACCAATCCCCTGGTTTTCCAGATGTTGTAATCGGATTACGGCCACGAAATGTCACTTCCGAGGAAAGCCGAGCCGCTGATTCGCTCGGCGATAGCCTTGATCGGGTGTAAACACGGTCTCTGTTGACAAGCCGGCGCTAACTCTCGCTCAGTGCACGCGCGTCCGGCGCGGCGCGGCGCGGCCGTGTTTGCACCGGAGCGAGGCGTCGCACCCTGCCGGTCGTCACGCGGTGACAGCGCATCCTGAGCCACCAGACCGGGCCTGAGGGGGTCACAGGGGGGCGGAAGCCGCCCCCGCACCCGGCCCATTCAGGCGCGGCCGTCACGTGACCGGACCGGCCGGTCACGTGACCGGCCGTATCGGTGACGACGGTCGCCGTTTTTACGGGGCGCTGGCGGTACCTGCTGACCTGGTATTCGGCGACAGGCGGACGCCCATGGCGCGGCGGCTGGCCCCTCGGCTGGCGCTATCTGGAGCCGGTATGCTCTCATAAAGAGGGGGACCAGCCGACGTAAAGACGAACCGCAGGCATGACAAAAGTGCTACCGAAATGGTCCGGGACGGTAGAGATAAAAAAAGGCCAGCACGCATTACAGCCATCACATGAGATGCATTAGAAAAAGTGCACTGCGGTGACCGCTACTTTCAATCCACAGACATGTACAGACTGCCCTTAAGCCAATGGAATGGAATCACGGATTGACCGTCTGCGGGATCCCATACAACGACTGGCAGAGGCGACCGCGCGCCAGGTCAGATCATCCGTATGTGGGCGCAGTCATCTGAGACAGAAGTGACAGAAGCGCCCGGACACGGTGAGCCGGCCTGCTTCGCCAAGAAGCCCGCCTGGTGGGCGTCTTCCAGCCCACGGAGGAGGTGCTTCGGTCGGCAGACAGATTGTCCGACGGTCCGGTGACGCCTGATCGCGGGGTGCTGCTAACTCTATAACAGCGCTGGTGTGACGTGCGGCCTTCGGCGCGGGATCGACGCTCAGCCGATATCCCGATATCTCACCGCCGGCATTTCGATCGATACCGACATCCTGCTCCGATGACGCACGTGGGCTCCCGTTTTCCGCACCAGAGACATGTCGTGACGGTGATAATCAATAGCGCGCTCCGTCGCCGCTGAAGGCCGGGCCACAGCCAACAGCCGGAGCCGTACAGCCAACACGCGGCGCAACACTTGGTGTGAATGGTGGACGTCGCGGTGGTCGGTGCACGTCCGACGATATTTGCATGATAGTTCAATGCCAACCAAACAATGGTGGCGTTACCAATCGTTTCAATGACGCGACGCCTAGCAATATGGCCAGTGACAGGCATACATGGCAAATGCGGCGCGGTAGGCGTGACAGGGAGCTCACCACCTTTCCTTGATATTAGCATAGTTCCAACATTTTTCCGTCATAGATACCGTGCCGACTGCCTTGCTACGCTGAGCTCTCCGTACTCTCAATTGGCGGTGACGCACATTAATCGTATGGGGCCATGTCGCCACAGGTGACGAGCTTTTAGGAAGCGTTTCTGGGGATTGAGATTCGAGCACGAGTGCACAATGAGCATGGTAGATATGCGCTAGTGGATTGTTTTCTGATTTCCACCATGGACTACGTGACAGGCTTCCCTTGACTCAATGTGGAGGCCATACAGCATTGTGTACCAGTGAACTATGTGACGACGTCAAGGGACTCCTCGCGACCATCTCGGGCATTCGGCGTTGGGCGCGAACGACCCCGCGCCAGACAGGCAGCCGGCTGTCCTGACCCTTGACGTCCGCTGCGCTCGGAGACGGCACGTTCCGCAGGCGCCGCGCGCCGCACCGGCGCCGCTGGCCGGCTACTCACCCTGGGTCGTGCAGAGCGGGCAGCTCTGGTACTGGGTCATGCACGTGTAGCAGCGCTCGTGGCTGCAGGCGTCGGTTATTTTTCGTTTCATTCCTTGGTCGAACGGCATTCCGCACACGGGGCAGTTTTCGTCGAGGTCGGCAGCGATCCGACGGAGAGAGGTCACGTCTGGAAGGAAGGCGTTACGCGCGAGTTAGTGACCTGATGGCGAGATATCACAACTGAAAGAGCGCGGTATCGGCCAGCGACGACGATGCACCGGGACAGGTTATATCTCAAGGTGAGGCAGTACACATTATACAAGTGAGACATCTGACATCAACAGTATGTGGAGTAGAGCAAACCATATGCGCTTAAAACACGAGATCCTCTGCGCCTCTGCCGATCGCGTCGTTTGAAGGGACGACGGGAAAACGGCACGGCGTCAGTCCGACTGGAGGTTGCCACACTCGGCCCCGACCACACCGGTTCGCGTGGCCGACGGCGTCCAACTCGACCACCCCGGTCCGCGTGACCGACGGCGTCCGACTCGACCACGCCGGTCCGCGTGACCGACGGCGCCCGACTCGACCACGCCGGTTCGTGTGGCCGACGGTGTCCGACTCGACCACCCCGGTTCGTGTGGCCGACGGCGTCCGACTCGACCACCCCGGTTCGTGTGGCCGACGGCGTCCGACTCGACCACCCCGGTTCGTGTGGCCGACGGCGTCCGACTCGACCACCCCGGTTCGTGTGACCGACGGCGTCCGACTCGACCACCCCGGTTCGTGTGGCCGACGGCGTCCGACTCGACCATTGAGGCCCCGTGGTCGCCGACCGACGTGTGTTCATTGTTACAGTGTGAGCCGCGGTTGGGTACCGCCAGCGCTGGAACAACCAACACCGTCCAACACCCTGGCTGGCGAGGCCGACCCACACGCTGCAGTGCCGTGCTGGCCGTCGCCACAGACGGCAGCCGAGCTCCGGCGAAAGTCGGCGGGCAGCAGCACAGCCCGGGGCCGGCACGCCGGGGTGCCACGCGGCGCCGTGCAGCCGCGGCCCTCCCACATGACAGAGGAACCTCGCTCTTGTCGCGGCCGCGTCACACGATCCCGGGAAGCAGCCAGCGGTGCCACATCGTAAACAAACTGGAACCAACGGCGCAGCCGGTTTTGCGCTCACCCGAAGCAGCGTCCACATCGCCGCAGCAAAAAGCACGACTCCTCGTCACGGTCCAAATAAAACAACAGCGGACCCGACCAACCCGGGTCTGTGAGCCTTACGGCAGCAGGGGCGGTCCACTGATAAGCGTGTCCATTTTCCGGACAGAGGCACTTTACGAGCATATGTGCAACTGCAACAGACAGTTCGCCAAAGATGTAATCGATTCTAGGGCAAAGGCAGCCACCCCGAGACGCGGACTGCATTCAGGGCACATACGGTGGTATGCGGCGGACCAGCTGCTATACCAGCTGTGACGGATACGGTTTGCAGCCGCGATGTCGGGATCAGGAGGGAGAAAACGGCGGCTAAGCTGCAAATAAGCCGGACAGAAAGCGATCTTGCCAGGTCAGCCGTCCCAATGCCGCAGGTCAGAGGGAGCAGCCGTGACCCGAACCCCACAGACCACACAGCTGCCTGGCGCCGATCAGACGTTTCCTGCCTCCCCAGCAGCCGTTCGTCGCCGAGCCCTCCCGGCGTTTTGACCCCAAGGCTGCCCTCAGCCCGGGCGGCAGCAGCAGCGGCGGCGGCGGCGGCCCTCCCTGCAGCCCGGTCGCTCGTGGGAGCGTGTGCAGGGTGCAGGTGACGGCGCGGCGGCCGTTCACCTGGCGCCGGCCGCCGGCCACGGCAGGCTCCGCGCTACCTGAACGACGGCTCGGCAGTAGGTGGGCGGGTCGATATCGCACTCGCCCCCGGCGGTGCCCCGGACCGGTGACTCCCACCGCGGTGTGTGCCTACCGTCGGGGCTCGGTTTCACTGCACGTGCGGCCAGCCCACCGACAGGGGAAGGGGGAGGGGTAAAACGGGCGAGCACGTTGACGTGTCACTGCCCATTTTCCACCAGGATAACCGTCAGCTGGCACAGACAATGGCAGGTTCGCCACGGGCGCGTCCAGACACTTTGACAGTGGTGAGACACACACAAGACTTGACTCCGCAAATCCTAAACTGCTACACCTAGATACTCATTGTTAAAATGTATTTGATGTGTTTGCGGTGCACTGAGTAACCGGAACCTGCCCTAAGCGGGCATGGTAGCATAGAATTGAACAAGATGAGATGATCGCTTGATCGATGAGATAGCAATTGTCACTAAACAGAGGTTATTATGCGAATTATGATCCTCATGTCCAAAATTTTCCGCATGAGCTCGGAATAATAAGCAGAGGGGCTATGTTATCGAGTCGGCTTGTGCTCACGTATCCTGGTATCACTCTGGGAGCAGCTTAGTCGGCTAGTTCAAAGGGTCAAACAGGCTTGCGGGCCTGGATGAAATAGCGCTTTCAAAGGAAATGAAGCTCAGAATGACTGCACGGTACCGAGTCCCTCGTGCACCCGCCCGTCCCCCAGCCTTGGGACCCGGACCACGGCCATCCCCCCCCCCCCCCTGCCGCCCAGCTGCCTTCGCCTCCACCCACAGTGGGACCCGGACCACGGCCACCCCCCTGGGACACCCAGCCGCCTCTACCTCCGCCTTCGCCCGCCGTGGGACCCGGACGACAGCCATCCCCTGCGCCGCCCAGCTGTCTCTACCTCCGCCTCCGCCCGCCGTGGGACCCGGACGACAGCCATCGCCTGCGCCGCCCAGCTGTCTCTACCTCCGCCTTCGCCCGCCGTGGGATCCGGACGACAGCCATCGCCTGCGTCGCCCAGCTGTCTCTACCTCCGCCTCCGCCCGCCGTGGGATCCGGACGACAGCCATCGCCTGCGTCGCCCAGCTGTCTCTACCTCCGCCTCCGCCCGCCGTGGGACCCGGACGACAGCCACCCCCTGCGCCGCCAGACCAGCCACCTCCCATGACGCAGCCGAGTATCGTCAGCCGCCGCCGGCGTGTCCCGACACGCCCGCCACCACGTGCGGGTTGCGCCAGCCGACGCAGCGTCGACGTCGACACCGCGTCATTTCCGGTCGTCGGCGCCGATGACGCGCCGTCTCGCCGGACCGTCGAGACGAGTCGCGACGCGCCGGAACCGCCACGGACGCCGGCCGGCGGCACGGAGGGTGAGGAGGGGTAGGGAGCGGGCGACGAGACGGCCCTGTGCGTCAGGCACAGGCGCAGCTGCTGGGGGTGCGCCGCCATCCCGAGTTCTCGCTGCCGATCACACCAACTCGGCCCGGTTCAAAGCATGTCAGACAGTAGTGGCTAGTCATCGAAGTCCCCGCGCCCGACGAAAAAGTAGTTTTTGGGCAACGCTTTCCCCCACCAGTGCTGATGATCCTTCTGCAAAGTTGAGTGACTGCAGAACACGGATACTCAATGACTAAGAGTTGATCGATTACTCGTAGTCTGTGACGTCAAATTCTGGAATATGATTTACGGGTTGAGACTGGAAAGACTCCACATGCACTCTGTCCATGTCGCCCCTTTGTAGTCCAGCGCAATCTTCTACGGTCTCAAAATGTCAAAAACGCTTCTGAGAAAACTAAATCTACTGCTCGGTTCCGTCTTAAACAAAAACATTGTCGAATGTTTTGAGGTCTCATCTATCACAACGGTGAGCGGGTCCAGCTTAGTGGTAAACTGGAGGCTTATCCAGTCGGTAAGAGGAGCTCCAGAGACAGACGCGGTCACCGGCTAATGGTGGCGGTTACACTTTTCCACACCATCCATGAAAATAGCTCTGGAAAAAATGTCATTCTGATTAAATCATGGCTCAAACGTGATGGATGTCGAATACCAATCGCAGATAACTCGACGAGTGCCTCCCTTGTCTTTGTTCTGCTGCAGCCAAACGGATAGGCAATTGTCGTTGATCCTTTACATTTTTACCCAGAAAGCCATCACTGGAAAATGGAGGCGTTAGCTGCCTGGCAACAAATGGTTTTAGAGCAGTTCTGTGATTATTTAAATTGACGGCATGACACAAACAGGCATTTGTTGAAAACAGGTCACTGTTTCCTGCATCTTCTGATCAGCTCACATGGTTGAGGTCTCCAAGGTGCTCTCCTCAAGGTTAATCGGCGGGAAGATGGTGACCAACGAGACAAAAGAGGTAAAGACCCCATGTCCTGAAAATCTCGCGACCACGCGACGCAGGCAGGGCATTTCAGCCCGTAGGCGCTGTTGATGGGCGCTAGGAAGATCGCTGCTGGGCAGACCAGCCCATTCTGTTATTTTCCAATGAATGCAGCCGCCACGTTCATCAGCAAAACGATGCGTCACGACTGAAGCAGACTCAATCACGCGCGGTTGTATTTTTCAAACTACGACCCTGCAGTCTTGAAACGGGCACTCGACCTCTGTCAGTCCGCGGCCGACCACTGAACGACGCCTAAACGTGCCACAACGGTACCATCTGCAACGGTGCACGCTCATGTGCAGGTGCAGGCGATGCTGCGAACATCGGGCGGGGCTCACGAGGGCATCAAATGACGGTTTAAAACATGGAAGTGCGTTATGTGTTGATCTAATGCAGTATTTGGGACATTTTTCCGAAAGTCCTGCTACATTGTACCCTGAAGGCACCTCCGTGGGTCGAAGACCATCAGCTGCAATTTTCATGAATCCGCTCTGTGCTACCGGCACACTGCAAACACGCATCGGACATAAGCACGCATTGACTCTGCACCCCGATCAGTTACCTTGGTACTTGGCACTGGCCATGGCTGAAGAGACTCGCGCACTCTCCCAGCTGACCACTGCGGCAGGCGCCAGTGAACGCTGCGATCACTGCCGAAGTGTCACACCTGCTCCTCTCGAGGGACACCAGCTCTGACCACCCGTCATCTCCACACCCCACCCCGCTGCAGTGCGCGGGCGACTGACTCCCGGCCACTCGTTCCATTCACAAACGCCGTCAGCCGGCCGGTACCGCCTCTGACACGGGCTCGGTTGACCCGACGGCCCCGGCGGTGGGTCAGCCGGGCCGTGTCGGTGCGCCCGGCCGCCAGTCGCGGGTCACCGCTCGCCAAACGTTCCCTGCACGAGACCGCAGCCGGTTCGCCCGCTTCCTTCCGTTCGTACCCGT